AGTAGTAGTAGTAGTAGTCGTCGTGCCCCCCTTGTACTAAAAAAATTGAAGTCGTACTAGTCCAAAAACAAATTGAAGTAGTAGTAGTCGTCCTGCCCTGTGCAACGGTGTTGTCAAGCAAGCTAGTCAGTAGTAGTCGTTTCAGTAGTAGTAGTAGTAGTAGTAGTAGTAGTGGTAGTAGTAGTAGTAGTAGCAGCCCTTCCCCCTCCCTCCCCTCCCTCCTCCCCTCCCCTCCCCTTCCCCTCCACCGTCTGTCCTGTTCGTCTCCACCACGCCCACCCCATCCCGCCACAATGTGTAGCTAGTGTAGTAGGTAGCATGTCCATTTCTAGGCAGAACCTTGGCATGACGCCTTTGAACCGTCCGAACCGCGCATTTCAATAGCCATGCAGTCGCGAAAGCAGGTAAGAGCTGTTTCGCTTGTTCAATGCACCGGATGCTTGGAATGGATATTAGGCTTATTGAATGCACGGGATGGTTAGAATGTATATTAGGTTCGTCGACTCACTACCTCCTCATATCTGTAGATTGAAGATATCATGAATCGTAAAGATGCCACAGCTTTACAATACGAACGCCCATACTGAAATTTTATATTGAGGTGTGGTGAACTTTAAAAAGATTATAACTTTGAAATGTAGATATCTACCCTGAATTTTATATCATTCATTGAATTACAAGATTTATCAATTTTAAATATACTATATTTCCCTCACGATAACACCTAGATTCATACTAAACTATAAGTTCACAGTCAATTATAAGAGATAGGATTCTGTAAGATGATATAATATGATAAAGTTATATATATATATGATGGAATGTATCGTATGGTCATGGTATATTCGCCCCGCCGCCTGCCCAAGCAGTAATCTCCTTATCGTTTGATGTATGCACGTGCAAAATATAGCCGAACGTAGGTTCTACAGGGGGGGGTAGCATATATATATATATATATTTATGTTTGTATTATATTATATTATATTGTATTATATTCTATTCTATCCTATTATAGTATATTATCTTATATTATGTTATATTATATTATATAATATATTATATAGTATAATTTACTATAATGTAAAATAAAGCAATAACATATATGATAATATTATGTTATATTATGCTATATTATCTTATATTTCTTATATTATATTGTGTTATGTCATATTATACTATATCATATTATATTATTTTGTATTGGATTATATTTTTATACTAAATTTCCTATGTTATATTACAATATATTTTACTATATTATATTATAATATGTTTTGTTGCAATATATTATATTATACCATAATATACTACATTACATTATGATATAGTATACTGTATTATACTATATCATACTATATTATATTATATTATATTATATTATATTATACTGTACTATATTATATGATGCTGTATTATACTGTAGTATATTATACTGTAGTATATTACATTATCATGTGTATGTATATATATATGTATATGTATGTATACACATACGCATAAAGGCATGCATGTATATATGTGTATATGCATACATACATACATACATACATGCATGCATGCATGCATGCATGCATGCATGCATACGTACGTACGTACGTACGTACGTACGTGCGTGCATACATGTATGTATAAGTATGGTGGGAAAATCCTGAGAGCCAGGCCCGGGGTCCAGGTCATCAAGACTGTGCGAGGAGTTGTCCTTTGGGTCAAGGTTTTTTCTGTCGAAGTGTGCCGACTCGCCCGTCCCAAGATTCAACAGCAGCCACCAGGTATTTTGGACTAGGAAATTGGGAGCTGGATGCTTTTTTCAAACTGAGCCCGGTCAAAGCGGCAGCTGCGGAGCAAAGCTGATGTTCATGGCTGGTCCTGTGCCTGTTCTCCGCTGCAACATTAATCCTGCAGGGCATCCGCTAGTCCGTAAGCCGGTGATAGGATTCTTTGCCAGAGGTTTTTGCAAGCATTTAGGGCTGGGCCAAGCCTGTAGTTAAGTCCTAAGTTGTTGCCATGGAGTACGAGGTGCCAGGTGCTGCCGAGCATGCAAAGTTGGAGACGTAGCAGACTTCTAGCAGTCCATCGGATGTTGCTGTGGCGGAATGGCCCGCAACCGAAATCATATCCGACAGTGATGGGTAGTTTCCTCAAGGCCTTCGTCCTTCAGAACCGGAAGCTCCTCAGCTTCGAACAGCTCAGCTGATTGTTGCGCGGCTGTGAGAAACTACCCGCATACATCTATTTACGAAGGAGAGTGCAGCAGAAGCGCCGAATGGGCGAACTAGCCGCAGTCGAACTGTTGCCCGACGAGCGTACTCTGAGACCATACTTGATATGGGTTTGGATGTTCAAGCTGGCGGTGTTGCGTTCCCAGGGTGCAGTTCAGGAAGTTGGGATATTGGGCCGAATCTCAGGGTGCAAGCCGTCCAAGATGCAGCCCCAAAGGCCCCGTCTGCGTCTGCTCCTCCCTCTCTCTGTGGGGGGGTGCTTTCGACACTTGCGAGGGTTTGCTTCAGAAGCAGCTCCGCAAAATCACGACCACAGCGAGTCAAGCCCATCCATGGAGGCAACGCTGGGCAACTGCGCATGTCTGCCAGGTCAAGTACGATCCGGAGCTCGGGGTGGTCGTGTTCGACCAGGACCATTTGCTGCGTGCTAGCCAGGCTGTGTGAACAGTCAGACTCTTGCAGAGCACAGAGCTCATTGCTGTGCAGGCCTTGTCGTTCAGGATGCTGATGACACTGAAGGGGCAAATCGCGTCCGGGGCTTTGCAGAGGAACAGAGTGCAGCAGAGTACTCAGGTGTGCACACTGTCTCGGGCCCGCTGTGGATGGAGTGCATGCTGGAGGTTTTAACGCATCGGTCACTTGTCAGCTCGCCCATTTCGCGAGCACCACCTTCAAGCAGCACAAGCTTCAATTCAGGCAGACCTCAAACTCCAAATCCTGTATTCCATTATGCGACGCAAAAAAACTCGCGAACAGAAGCTATTTGCGCAGTGACTTTGTTGACGCAGATGAAACCGCAGACTGAGGCCTGAAGGAGAATGTGGGCCTTGCCTCATTTAATAGTCAGGGCCTTGCTGCCACAAAAGGCTGTGCATGACTGTCGTGTGTA